CAAACGGGTGTTGATGTGCATGAAACCGTTTGTAGACATTTTCAACCAAGGACGGTAGATTATTCCACGCACTTCCTTAGACATGAGATTTTATTTGAATCCTATCAAATTGGTGTTTGACGGTGTCACGACAGAAATTCCGCGCGAGTTTAAGACGGAAGACATTAAAGTATCCTTGCATCTTCATCTGGTATCGTTGAATCTTGCCACCAGTGTGGATTATATGAATCGCCTAGAAAAGAGAACTGCCATGTATCCCATCGTGCATATGGAAATGCGTCAATTTTCCATCGATAAAGGCGCTACCTATAAGGAAATCATCGACCCGTTCAACGGAAAAGTACCTCAAAGAGTCGTGATAGGAATCGTGAATCCACTTGCATTTAACGGTGAATACGCGAATGACCCCTATGCGTTCGAAAAATCGGGTGAAGAATACATCAAACAGGTGGTGAACGGAGAAGAATACCCATACGAAACGATGGACCTGAACGCGGCTAACGGTAACAGAGATTTGGCGCAATATCAACGCTTTTGCGATGCCACGGGATGTCTGTATCGAAATCACGGTAACATGGTGAGGTTTGACGAATGGGGACAAGGTAAAAATTGTACCTTGTTCGTGTTTTCAAATGTAGCACACGGTAGGCATGACGACGCTACCTTGTTACCTAGAAACGAGGCGTTCATTAGCATTCAAATAAAATCAGCGATGCAAGCGGAACAAATGACCATTATCATTTATGCTGAATACGAAGGCATGGTAGAAATACAAAGTATTAAAGAAGGTACCACTTTAGAAGTGCAGTAATTTTGTTTTTTGGTCAAAGATGGAATTTGTAAGACTTTCGACGCATCAACTTAACGCTTTGGGCGAATTAGATCCCGTGTTACGTGACTATTTTGCAAAAGCGTGTGCTGCGGACCAATTACCCTCGCATGCGGTACTATACAAACCTCGAGCGTCCGTGGTGAATACACATACCATTTCAAAACCGGGTGAACACTGGATCGCTTTGTGGGCGCATCGCAGTACATGCGAAGTGATGGATAGTTATGGTTTGGATTTGAACACCTATCGAGATGCGGAGCTTTTACGCTATTAGCTAGAAACACATTTTAAAAATTTAATTGCACCAAATCGTGCGCTTCAATCGATTCGCACTGCTAGTTGCGGTCATTATGCCATAGTGTATTTAATGTGTAAAGCTCGAGGTGTTCCCATGAGAGATTTTTTAAATGCGTTTTCGCATGGTGATTATGTAGGAAACGATGTAAGAGTAGCCGATATGTTAGAAGAGATTATAAAAGGGTTATTAAACGTTCAAAACTAAATAGCGTGACTGTGCATGTGTGTGAGAGATGAGTTGTTTAGAGCGCAAATGTACCATTCAATGCCCCGCCAATGTGTTGATTGTGGGCCCTACAAGTTGCGGAAAGACCACGTTTTTAAAACGATTGTTATTAGAAAATCGAGATGTGTTTTCTAACCCGCCCACTCGCGTGTATTATTGTTATGGCTCGTGGCAGCCGAGTTTTGACGAAATGAAAAGCCATGGCATGACATGTTTTCTCGGCGTTCCTAAAGAGGCTAAAATTAAAGAATGGTTTGGCGATGCCAGCGGTGGTGTGTTGGTCTTGGACGATCTCATGTCGAAAGGAGGAGATGATCTCGCCATTTTAAATTTGTTTACACAACATTCGCATCATTTAAACGTGACGGTGTGTTATCTATGTCAAGACATGTTTCCGTCGGGTAAATTTGCCAAAACCATATCGAGAAATGCACAATACATAGTAGCGTTTAAAAATCCTCGAGATAAGATAGGACAGCGTAATTTGTTGTTGCAGATGTATCCAACGTAATGGAATCGCGTCATGGATGTATATAATGCCTGTACCGACCGTCCATACTGGTACTTGTGTTTTGATGCACATCCTGCGAGTCGCGATTCGATGCGATTGGTGAGTCATTTATTAAAGCACGAAGGTTGTATGCGATGTTACCGAGAGCCGGGATCGTAAGACGAAGGAGAACGAAAATGAGAAAGGGTTTAAAAAGAAACACGAAAAGGAGTCGTCAACACGGCGGTATTCTTCATTTGATCGGATTGTTAGGTGACGTCATTCCTAAACTTTTGACACGAAAAAGCGCATAAATAGCAGTGTGAATTAATATAAAAGACGTATAAAACGCACGAGAAGAGGGCAAAAAGGAGGTATTTTAGGATTGTTATTGGGAGGTGCAGCAATATTGTCTGGATTGCTAAAATTATTGAAGAAATAAAAAAAAAATGCCCGTACATCGCCGTTTCAAAAAACGCGTAAAAAGAAGACGAAGACAAAAAGCGGGATTGTTGCCATTGGCAGCGTTGATACCGGCACTCATTGCGGGTGGAAAAGCTTTAGGAGTTGGTGCTTTGAGTGGAGCCGCAGGATTTGAAGCTAAAAAAGTATTGGAAGCGGCTACCAGACGACGGAGGAGAAAGCGATAGTTAGAAAAAAAAAGGAACGCATGAAACGCAATTTTGATTTTTTAAAATCTATTTTATGAGAAAAAAATGACAAAAGACGACGCGCTAAAATATTAACGGCCAGTAAAGATCAGATTAACAGTGTGAGCGAGCTGGCGATGAATCTGTTAAGACGAAACATACCCTTGTCACCGGCCGTGATATCGCGTTTACGAAAATATAAAGATGTGATTGTGAATTTGGGGAAGCGCGCGTTAAGTTTAAAAAGAAGACGCGACTTGTTAGCCTCACAGAAAGGAAGTGGATTTTGGCGCGGTATGAACGACGTGTTGTGGCAGTGTATAAACCGAAAACGATACAAAACATGCCCCATCACCCCATAGACGAAGTGGACGGAGGTATATCGATTCACATCGATTTAGAAGAAGGAGAAGTAGGCAAAGAGTGTCTCTTGATGCGTCTGTTGCGTTGGCTCATAGAAAAACTGGGTTCGAAATGGAAACGAGACTAATGGTAAACCCGCAAGAATTTCAGGCTTTGATCGATTATTACAAAGGTAAAATCACCGAAAGCACTCATTTAGACAAAGCAGCTCGCGTGACCGCCGAAGCTCAACTGCTTTTGAACGATCCACACATCCCTGCAGGTCTTAAAGAGCCCGTGGCTAAAACATTGTTGGCTAGAGAACGCGATTTGACCGAACAATTACGTGCCATACCCGCAGGCAGTGGCCCCAAAGCGGCTGAAAACAAAGATCAGGGGAGTGTGTTAGATTCCGTTCAAGATCAACTCAATTACAATTGATCGGATCGATACGAAGCGGACAAAAAAATCCGAAATAGCACCGAAAATAGTCAAGAAAAAAAGACAATTACCCTCCACTCCTGCCTCGGCAACGCCCTTGGGAACCCCATTGGGAACCCCTTTGGGAACCCCATTGGGAGCCCCTTTAGGCACCCTACTGAGTAGACCATTGAACGAGACATCCGGGGTAGGAAAAGGGCAAAAAATGACACTTTCTCAACCGCTGTGGACGACTCCTATCGGAACGACGATTGTGGGAGCCCCGGCAAGTTGGAAAAAACCACTCACCCCTACCTCTCTAGTAAAAACACCTCAAAAGGGTGGGCCTGCGAGTCGCGGTGAGTCAGCTATCGAGAGGGCCTCCCAGGGGCCTATAAAACCAATTCCCGTACACGAAAAAAGTCCCAAACGTAAGTACCGAAAGAGGAAAACGGAAGTAGAAACTTTAAAAAGTTTTGGAAGTTGGGAACCTTTTGACAGACGAGGCGTGGATTTATACGAAGCTTATGGCACGACGCCATCAAAAACGACGACATCCGCGGCAGCGACGGCCAGCAAAAGTAGGGGTAGAGGGAAAGTTAGGAAAAGGAGGGTCACCTAGACATTCGTCTAGACAGAGACAGAGACAGAGACAGAGACAAAAAGCTGGAAAAGTAGATTTTCAAAAATGGATTTCAAAATTAGGAGTCGAATTTCATTGGCCGGGGTATCAGTATTTAGGACCGGGTACTAAATTAGCCATGCGACTTACACGCGGTGATCCGGAAATCAATCGATTAGATCGAGTCGCTAAACAACACGATATCGATTACAGTAAAGCCAAAAATCTGGCCGACAAGCATACGGCCGATCGTAAAATGGTTGCAGCCATTCGCCGATTTCTCGGTAAAAAAGCTATACCGGAACGCGTCATCGATAAAATCATGTCTGCTAAAGTAAGAATAAGAATTTCAAATAATAAAATGTATGCGTTTCCAAAAATAGAAGTGTGTGTGTGTGTGTGTGTGTGTATCCAATCATTTTATTCCACGTCAGCATACATTAAAGTAACCCCTATTAAACATTTTGTCGCACACCCGAGACACTCATTCTGGTGTAAACCTCGGATGAGTTGCATTCCTCTCCTCAACACTAGAAAAAAGAAAAGACGGCGATAACGCAGAATGACTTCTAAACTAGATACATTTGAGGTCGTCGATATTCCCGCCATGGATGCACATGTGACCGCACACGTCAAAAAGGACACATTTGTCATAGATTCCCCCCTTAATCATCTTAATTTTGCCGAAGACAGCGTAAAATCTCTCAAAGAGCTTGGGGAGGACGCCCCACGTCCGGATCCGGAGCGCGCGGGACAGGAGCAGGACAAGGAGCAGGAGCAGGACAAGGAAAAGCAGAAAAAAATGGACGAACACATAAAAAGTTATGCAGACATGTCCGACGGTGAATTTGAAGCGCACGTGTTCAAAGTATTGACCGAAGCTGCCAAACAACAAGCGGAAGAGGAAGAAGCCAAGATTCGCATCGTCAAATTTTTGGTGGAAAAAGTGTGAGAAACCGAACCGACCCTAGAAGCCATCAAAATGTCTGTAGCCATACTTTTAAAAAAACAAGAAATGGGCATGTTTTAAAATAACAAAATTGTTTTTTGATATTTACATATGGTCTATTTACATGGTGTGTGTCTGTCCGCCCGAAAATTTCTACTCAAAAAACATCGATCTATGTACAAATTTGATAGCCATAAGGAAAGCTTTTCCCCTCCCCTAAAACCCGTTTGTCAAAGACTAATCGATAGGATTTTGTTTGCTGCTCGGTTCTAATTCTTTTCGCCACGGGATCTCTGACAAAATGCACGGGGTTATGTATCTGAGTCACGACGTGCCCGCGTTCAATGAGTTCTTCTAAAACATTGTTCTTCAACACTTGAAAATTTAGTTGTTTTTTCCCTCGGACGTTTAGTGAAAAGCCTTTGACTTTTGTACTCACGTGTCCGAGATGGGTTCGATACCCATAATTCTTGGCGCCGGCACTGATAAATTCTTGGATATAATCTCCGTCGTCTAATTCATTCGTCATCTCTCCTAAATGATCGCCAAGTGGGATTTCAGGATCTCCCAGTTTCCAGCGATAGACCACGGAATCCGTGTCGTAATAGAGCACTTGCTGCTGTACCGTTTCCAAAGATTCATACAATTTTAACCGCGCCATGGCTGTTGTAAAAGCGGCAATGAATATGTTGGTTGTCATGCCTTTCACTCGATCGGAGGCGTCGCGCTGGGTCACTACTTCGACAATTTCCGGTGACAAATTTCTGATGTCTTGCACGTTCACTAATGGGTCATCGAGTAGGTCTAACAAATCGCGGGCTTCACTCAATTGGGTCGTGCCAGATTTGTTCGTTTGCTGACCAGATTTCCCCCAAAACGAATTCAACATGAGTTTTGCGACGGCTTTTTGTCCGGGATTTTTAGCAATTTTTGATGGATCTAACTCGATTCCTTCTTTTTGGTGGTAGTCCTGTACATATCGGGCACGATCTGTTTCGTTTTCACACCAGGCGGGGTATCCAGCACTCTCCTGTTTTGATCTGAAATGCCATAATTCATGTATGCGTAGGACTCTATACCCAAGTGCTATGGCCTTATTTAAATCAGGGGAACACCACGTACCTCGCAAACAGCGCTCGGTGTCTGTATGAGAACATGTAAAAGATCTCGCCAGCATAGGTTTCACACTTTCTACTTCCACCCACTTGGCGCATAAGGGGAAGGTGAACTTGTACGAACCAGAACTCATCTTGCGCCTGTACGGCAGGAAGGGATGAAACAACTCGGCTGGAGGTAACACGTCGACTTTTAGGAGACCATAGTAGACGGATGGGTCTTGGTTTTCTAGTTCGTACAAGATGACGGGATGACCCAGGGGATATAGCCCATTTTTATTTACCCATGGATATTCGCTCGTCACATCGACGTAACGAATCTGTTCGCTGTCAGACACGCGATGATGAAGCGCCACAGCCCCAGTTCTTCCTCCAAAGAATGCATCGCGCGGTTCTAGCGGGGACACGAGATTTAAATTCGTCACAAAATTTCGGCACTCTTCATCTTGTTTTTTCAGAGCATCAAATTTGCATTTCCACATCTCGATGACGGTATAGCCGGCGTCACGCAACGCTTTGAGTTTCTGTTGTGTACGTCTTAGTAATGCCCCCACTGTAAGACCCATGGCACTGTGTGGTACTTGTTTTCTGTCAGGGAAGCAGGTACGAAAACCGTGAAATAAACATCCCTGAAACTCAAAACATGTGCGTGACTGTTCGTCATATCCATCGACGTGATGAGTGTGACCAGCTAGGCGAATGCTCATTTCCCCTCCATTTCTTGCGTGACGGATGTGAATTATACGCTGCCTTTCTTCCCACAATAACCATTCTAACGATTTCAAGGAATGTATGGGACGTGCACCATGCCACCCACTACACGATTCCAACGCAATGCTCTCCTCTTCCATCACCCTTTTTCGCCAGTAACGATTACACGCTTGTGCAATCGTGACACATTTTTCTAATGGGTCAAAACCTGCCACCGCACGAAATTCCGCCACAAATTTCTGACACGTACATCCGACCCAAAATACTCAATCAGTTCATGTTTTAGATCGTACACCAGCTGACGGGAAGATTCTTCTCGGTACCATTCTTCAAATTCCTCCATTCTCTTTTCGGACATGAATTCGGGAGCAAAATATTGGCGGTCAGGTAACGCACCCACATAATCGGCCTTTTCAGGAGTGTGAAAGGTATGCGGAAAGAAACCTTTCTTGATTTCTTCTATTCCAAACGTACTGGAAAATTGAGCCAGCGATGATGGAATGAGGCAGAAGGAATCTTTAAATTGTACTCTGCCATGCGAAAGAGACAACTGTTTTGTACCGTTAGGTATCATGAAATCAAATATACGATGTTCTTTTAGGAGTTGTGCTTGTAGAAAGACACTATCGTAGCCTTTCAAATTATGGAATATGCAGATGAAATCGCGACTCTCTTCTTTAGGAATGGGTTGAGCGGCGGTGCCACAGATGAGGGAATCTAGAAAATCTAAAAATTCCTCAGTCCATTCTGGGCCATAGAAAGTGTGACACTCGTCTGAGTCTCCCGTTTCGGCGCGGACCAAGATGGGGGAATGGGTTCCATCCGGCTGGATGATGGCTTCAAAATCCGCATACCCAAAAATAGGTGGTTCGACATAGGGACTGACGTGTGGGTTTTTCTTTTTCTATTTTTTGTAAAGGGATGCTGGTTTTTTCACGGGGAGATCTTCTTCCTCATCCACACTCTGAATGTAACATTGGTGTGTGGTTAAATCGACTTCTTCTCGACAGGCACGGCAATGGCCCGTATAACATTCGTGTGGGTTTTCGGATGGCGTGTACTCTTTACAGCAAAGTTCACAGCGAACCCAGCTCTTCCAAATTCCTGCGTTGTGATGAAAAGCCACACAACGGTCGTCGTAAAAGTGACGATGGCAATGCTGACAATAGATGATAGGAGAATGAGATTTTCAACCACACGCCACTTGTTTACACGCTTTACAGCGACGTCCTTCACAGGGATGATTGTTGAAATCTTCGCTGTCGTAACCACGGTTACACATGTCGCAGAAATATGATTTTTCCAAGAACGCCTGGTAGGATCTACTGCCATGGTAATGCCCGATGTCCGAGTTGCCCACAGGAGGGACGTACAACAATCGCACGATGTGTTGTGGGGGTTCTGTCACTTGGCCTTCAAAGAGCACACCATAGGGGTAACAGGCTGTAATCACTTTTAGTTGGTACTTTGGAGCCAAATACGCTTGAAACGCTGCTAATTCTGTCTTTCCACACGGTCCTTCAGGCACACCGGCTTCGCGACGTAAATATTTTGCGCATCTCGTGAGTGTTTCAGGGCGTTGTTGGATGTTTCGAAATACCTTTTTGCCACTTGGTCAGCGGGATTTGCGTCGCAGGCAGATTTGGATATCCAAATCGCGCGTGCACAGCACTAATTGTCCTTTCTGGTGACCTCTAGAACACTACGGCGATCGTGTAGAACCGTAGCTAGTTTCTTGCGGCCCAACCATCGTTCCCATTTTCCCCCGACAGTATCACCCCCACGAGCCACCAAAGTCGCATCCATGTCGAACGGGTCGTCCGCCTCGAATGCCTCATTCGAATTCAATTGATTTGCAAGTACTTGGAGATAAGCTTACCAGCGGTCACTCCCATGACGCACTTCATCCACGCGGAAATAAGAGGACTGGTGAGGGTGTTGGAAACGAGGCGTAGAGAAATTAAAGAGGACCTGATCCTCGCCTCTGACCCCTCGCGGCCATCTCCTCCCTGTATCGTCAACAATTTGGGCCGCTGATTGTCACCCGCCCTTGCCTCCCTCTGCTGCCTTTTTTTCGTACGAACACGCTGCTTAAGCAGTGTGTTCTTAAATTTTTGTGGCTCCCCGATGGGAACCACTTTGAAATTAAAAAGTGGTGTACCTTCTAATTGTAGCAATTCCTCGTCCGACACATCCTCCAGCTCTGCCATTCGGAGAAGCTCTTCATCGCTCACATCATGCTCCCACGAACCTTCTCTCCATGCTCTTTTTTTGCCCACCATTTTAACTCTTTCTCTCTTTCAGATTTTTCCCGCCACTACTACTCTCCAACACAATCTCTACCAACTGCAAGTGTCGTGGGATGTATCGCTCATTATATAAGATGAGGGACAATAGAATTTTTTGGGTGCAGTCATACCTCGCATTTTTTGGGTGTACCGTCACCTAACTAATCCTCATTAAATTGAAACTCTTTTCACCTCTATTTCTGGTACGTGACTTCAATTATTCATTCTTTATTATTTTAGTAGGTCATTGTCATTTCGCAGCAGTCACTGAAGAGCGAAAGAGGTAAGATTTAATTATGAAGTGGATACCTACAGATGTTTTTTACAACGCATGCTATTTCACCATAGAGTCATGTTATCCTGTTGTAACTCTTTTTATTAGATGAGATCGGATTTGATTTATTTGATGAGTTAAATTTTTTTTATTTGACATCTCATCTTTTCGAGTGACACAATCACCATTTACACTCTTTCCAAATAGAACGATTTTTCATGCAGGTAGTAACGGTTATGGCGTGAATGATAATAATAGACTTGTCTTGTGGTACGTTTATTTTGTTCATCATACTCAATAAAAAGGAAACGCACGTATAAAAAACTGTGTCTTTTTTCCATCACCGTGAGTGTGTGTATGATAGAGAGAGAGAGAGAGAGAGAGAGAGAGAGAGAGAGAGAGAGAGAGAGAGAGAGAGAGAGAGAGTAAGGTACACTATCAGGATGGGTGATTTTTTTCTCCTGTTACCTTCTTATGATCAAAGTCTCAAGTATTTTCCCAACAATACCTGCAGCGCATGGACCAATAGACTCGATCCACCCCTTCAATTACCGGGAACTTATCAAGTGGCCTTAGCGGGGCTCTCGATGCCTGATGAAAATATCTTGACGCATTATCTGGCGGGATTAGACAGTAACGATGTCATAGCGCGCCTGGAAAGAATGGTGTATTCGGTGGATAATGACGAATTTCTAACTTATCTACGGACATTAAAATGTTTCGTCTTCGCAAACACCTAGTGGAGACGGCTGACGATTTTTTTCGTTGTGTGGTCAGAGTCTCAAGATTTATTTTTAATACAATTTCCCGATTGGAAAATTCTTACGACGGATAAAAACGGCGCCAATTTACAATTTCGATTTGCTTTCGATAGAGATCAACAGACAGTCAGAATTAACACCAACGCCATTCCCTTTAGTTCGAGTTCAGCTGAAATTCTAAAACGATGTCACTTGTTTCTACGAAAAGAATTGTGTATTCTCATGGGATGGGTGCACGTGTATAAAGATCAGAATAATAACGACTTATATCAATGCGGGCCTAATTTAATGGTAGAAAAACGCTGCGATAGATATACTGAAAATAGAAGTGGTACCGCAATTCGTCCTAGAAGAAATCAAATCGAATCGCTCAATGGATTGTTTAAATTTTACATGCACGAGGTGAATTGGACATTTAAAAACACCATAGATTCGTGTTACAAAAATAAAAAAAGTTCAAGACTTATTTACGTGCGTTCCGATTTAGTCGACCCGAACAATATGGGAGATAAAGTCACTAATTATTTAAAACTCGTCACGTACACTCCGACACTCCAAGGATACGATTATTATGCACCTTCGCACTTAGACTACATTCCCTTGAGAACGCATCGCATCGAAACGATTCATACGGATCTTCGCGAATTTCCCGACGAATTATTTGCACAGTTTGAAGAAGGCGGTAGCTGTTTTCTCGTTCTACATTTTCGTCGAATTAAATAAAAAGGCGGTGTAAAGTCACTCGACATTCACTCGCATTTTTATTTTTTGAAAAAAAGATGCGTCAAGGATTGTCAAGCGTACACCATGGAAGAATCTCAACTGGTATTACCGAGTGGCGATAAAAGCATTCAATATTTTCCACAAAATAAGAACAACTCGTGGAAAACTCGACTACCCAAACAACTACAATTGGAAGGTGCTTGGCACGTGGCTCTTTCTGGAATTAGTATACCTAGCGAAAATATTTTTACACAATGGTATACCACTCTTACTAACGATGATCTATCGTTACGCACCTAACGACTCACATGGAACATGCGACAAAGGGTGACAAGTTACTGGTCAACAGAGGTGTTTTTGAGCGATTAAATTACCGCTCACAGTTCAAGTCTCCAAACTATTTTTAAAGACATTCCAACAGTTTTTGATTTTTTACAAGCTGTTTTTCACATTGAATACGATAAATCTATTGCGGCTCTACCGTACGATCGAAGTTTAAGCTACGACGAAACAGATCCTGCACAATACAGAGTAGAATTTGGTGCTGTGAATGAAACCGTCACGGTCAATACCGGAGTCATTGATGAGGATATAGCCACTAATCGAGCACGTGCTATGAACTTTTGGTACGAGAAGATTTTTGTAGAGCTTTTAATTTAATCGAGGACACTAAATATACGCCATACAATTCTTCTACGGATAAAATCAAAAACGGTCCTAGCTAAAAATACATAAAACGCGGTGCAAAATTTCTCGAAGATAGGAGTACAACGTCTTATCAGTATCGGTATTATCAAATGGCCCAACATACCTATAGAAAAGATGTAGCAGGACAGGATATGACTAAACCTGCCGCGGGAGTTCTTTTTTACTGCCACGAAGTAAATTTCATTTTTGTAAACACCAAACGACTGTGTTACAAAAACGGTAGCGCTACTAGAATGTTACAAGTCTATTCCAGTTTAGGAGAACCCGTGCGCATTGACGATCAAATTACCGATTTGTTAGCCATGATTCCGCATACGCCTAGACTATCCGGTACTAGTTATTACAAACCCCTTCTCCTACAATATGTACCTTTAAAAAATAATACG